GCACCACATGAAAAATAAAGGTACTATATCCATCTATAACTAAAAAAAAAAAAAAAAAAAAGAAAGAAAGAAAGGGTGATATGCCCTTTCCCCTGACTGGCAGCATGGAGACTATATAATGCCTAGAGGTGCTGTAAAAGATGTAAGTTTGTGGGAGTTTTTCAGAGCTCTAGCAGCCTTCCTTAAAAGGTCCAGGAAGTTGAAAATCTCTGAAAGGGTGGATGTGGTCAAGCAAGCCAAGCATAAAGAGCTTGTACCCTTTGGTGAGAACTTGTTCTGCTTGTGAACTGCTTTCATGGTGGAGCACCTGTATCCCCACAGGGATGCTGGAGCTGGTTCTCATGACTAAGATCTGTGAGAGATATCAGAGAAATGGTATCATGTCCAACTTCGTCAGCAAAGTCTCTGAGAATGTAGCTGGTTAGGTCCTCCAAGCTCTTGGGAGACTGAAAATGGTAGAAAAAGACCAACTTCGTCAGCAAAGTCTCTGAGAATGTAGCTGGTTAGGTCCTCCAAGCTCTTGGGAGACTGAAAATGGTAGAAAAAGACCAAGATGGGGGTTGCAAACTGACACTCCAGAAACAGATCTGCACAAAAGATCTCACCAGATAGGTGACACCTACCAACAAGAATCATTAGAACAAATGATGTTGGATTTTTTTAAAAAGCAATCTGAGGCCTAGTCTAATATCTTTCTTCGTAATTGCCCTTATTCCTAAGAGGCAGGTCTTAAAGTTTCTAGCCCAAACAAATGGTGTTTACCAGGGCTTTCCCACTCATTGCTGTTTCTCGGTGTTTGTTTGAATTTGAAGGCTGTCAGAAATTATTCAGTTTCCTATCTACCTGCTTTGGATCTGGCAGGTGTCTCCAAGTACCAAACCAGTTTCATTTTTTTGTATCTTCATTCTTTCCTGGCCCATCTCAGTAAATATTTACTCTTGTTTTCCAGTACCYGCAAGCAGATGTGTAAAATATATATTCAGCTTTTCTTATTGTCCTGAGTGGGAGACTTAATTCAAATTGCCTAATCCTCTGTTGTTAGAAGATTTTCTCTAGATTTTTTGGTATGAGAGAGAGTACATTTTTCATAGTATTCAAGATAATTGAGTTAAATTTTTTGTGTTGTCTGCTGTAAACCTCCTTATAATTAGTATAGAAAATAGTTATTTCTTTGTAACCCTGAATATAGAATGGCTGAACTACTTTTCAAAGCCAGAAAAAGAATTTTCTTTGAGACCGTTTTATCTATGACACTAGATATTTGGAGGACTAATGTAAATATTTCCCAAGATTACCATTGAGTAATTGATGAATACCCAAACTGGAGAACTGAAAATGTTGTATGTAGTTTTTTGTACATAATATTTAACAGGTTCAGAATTAATTCTGACTTAGGTAAGATTTGCACAAATATGCAAATAGTTTTCTGTAATTCTTAAGTATCCATAGAAGACAAAATTTGGAAACAGTCTGTTGGCAAATATAGCCCAGGGCCTCATACCTTTTGAATCAGAAAGTTCTTTCCATRTACCTGTTATATTTGAAGCTATTCATATTTAGTCATCCTAGAAATAGAGAACAGTTAATGACTATAGCCCATGTTTGGTCTATTGTTATAGTATAGTGTTCACAACCCCCAAAAAATATGCTTAAACAAAAGTATGATGTGAATATTTGTTCTGGGGTAATAAATGGGCTCTTTTACCTGGATATTTTTGGCAGATGGTAGCAAATGAGACTGAAGGTAGATTGGGGCTAATTGTGTAGGACCCTAATAGGTTAGAATGTTTTGACTTTGTCTCAGGAGCTTTTGAGTGAGAGTGAGAAGGCAAATAAGATTTTTTTTGTATATTAACTTAGTAATACTTTGTCATTTAGTCTGGAGAAGAAAAATATACTGAAAGCAGGGATTACAAAAAGTTCTTAATAGTCAGTAGTGATGGTGTACACTTGTGGTCCCAGCTGTTCTGGAGGCTGAGGCAGGAGGATCGCAAATTCAAGGCCAGCCTGGGCAAGACCCTGTCTCAAAATGAAATTTTAAAAAGGACACTGGTAAATGCTTGCTTAGTTTGTGAGAGGCCCTGGGTTCAATCCCCAATACTGTAAAACAAACAAAAGCTCTAGTAACTGTGTAAGGTAAGAAAAATCTGATTTTTTTATAGTAAAAACGAATGACAAGAAAGGGGTGCACTTTGCATTTTAAAGTTAAAGTATTGATGTTTATACATAAGAACTTAAAAGAGTAAAGCAGAGAAGGTTCTCAGGTTGTAAGTATGGATTAAAGGTAGCATAATATGGGTATCAATACCAAAAGCTGGTAAGTCAGAGGTTGAAGGTAGATTGAGAACAAGAATGATGAATTTGAGTAATAAGAGTTGTTAATTTTATAACATTATGTAAGGGACTATTCACTAAACATGAGATTATTTTGGAAATGTGTTGATTTGATCATCTGAGCAATTTTTTATGATTATTAAAATTTACATTTTAATAATCATATTATTAAAAGATATGGGCACATATCTTTTAATAATAATAAAGATATTGGGCACAATATCTTTATTTCATTCATTTATTTTATGTGGTGCCTGGGATTGAATCCAGTGTCCACACATGTGAGGCAAGTGCTTCATCACTAAGCCACAATCCTGGCCTCTTCATCACTAAGCCACAATGCTGGCCCCTTAAAATGTATATTTAATAATAAAAAGCTATATGTTGTATTGTGAGTAGGGAGTACTACATTATTGCTTCAGAATTTACTGCTATTGTTGGTGCATATTATTATTATTATTATTATTATTATTATTATTATTATAAAGTATTTTTTAGTTGTAGATAGACATAACACCTTTATTTTATTTATTTATTTTTATGTGGTGTTGAGGATTGAACCCAGTGTCTCACATGTGCTAGGCAAGCACTTTACCACTGAGCCACAACCCCAGTCCTATTTGGCTCTTTTGTGTATGTGTAAATATATCTCTCTGTATTATTCATATTCTTTTCTTTGTTATGCAGTGAGGAAGATCTAACTTATCATTTTTAGTTTGTAATTCAGGGAGATTACTTTATCCATGGATATTCTGATTTTTCATTTTTTAAAAAATTAAAAATAACATTGTAAAAGAGTATTGTGTATTATCTTTGGTACTTTGTTCAACTATTTTTATAGAATAAATCCCTAGAATTAGGCAAGAGGAAGTAAGTAGATTTATCATTTTAATACCAGTAACTTTCTAGAAAGATTAGTATTGAGTCTTGTGTACATGTGTGCAAATTAATAATGTGATTTTTTATTTTTAGACATGTGTTTGAGTGGGGGACCTTCAAGTAATGTGTGATAGTATATTCCCCTTTGGTGGTCATTAAAATTAATGTCCAGGAAGGCCATGGAATTTTAGTCATTGTTTCTACATACTTTTGGCATGGAAAATATAACCCATATTTTAGTTCATGGGAGACTATAACCCAATACCATTGGCTGGTGGCTTTAAGAGTAGAAATTTATTTCTTACAGTTCCAAAGACTATGAAGTCCCAAAGATCAGGGTGCCAGCAGATTTGGTGTCTAATGAGGCCTTACTTCTTGGTTTGCAGATAGCTGTCATATGTCCTCAAATGGTGGAGGTAGCAACCTATAGTTCCGTTTTTCTTTTCTTTTTCTTGTTACTGGGATTTGAACCTAGGGATGCTTTACCACTGAGCTATATCCCCAGCCCTTTTTATTTATTTATTTATTTTGAGACAGGGTCTTGCTAAATTGTGAAGGGTAGCCTCAAACTTGGGATCCTCCTGTCTCAGCCCCTCAAGCCTCTGGGATCACAGGTCTGTGTCACCAGCCTGGCTCTAGTTTTTCTCTTTTCTTATTAGAACACTACCCATCATAAGGCTCTACCCTCAAGACCTTATGTAAACCTAATTACTTCCCAGAGAACCCTAGCTTCTAATATTGTCACATTGGAGATTAGGGCTTTAACATTTGAATCTGTGTAGGACAAGATATACATTCTAAGGCAAGGACTATATATATATTTAATAGGAACTAGAATTAGAGATGAGGTTAGTAATTAAGGGATATGCTATCAGGAAAATATATATTTTCATGTCTATATTATATATATAATGAATGATTAATGATGTTGATTATAGAACTACACTTTTCTTAGTTATTTCTAATAAGAACACTTTTTCATAATTTTTAAGTCTAATGTGGTAAACACATGGTTACTATCATAAAGAAGCTGGGGTATCGCTCAGTGGTGGAGAACTTGTCTAGCATGCTTAAAGCTCGGAGTTCAATCTCCAGCACTGAAAAAAAAAAAAAAGAAAAAAAGAAAACCTTCATACTACTGGGTCAGTGCTTTTGGGGGTAGGTGAAGTGATTTAATTTCCTCCTCCTAGCACAGTACATAACACCTAGGAACTGATTAATATTTATGTGTTGATTGATTTCTGATCTGAATCCGCAGCCTGAATGCAGTTTGTGTTGTGTCAAAGAGCCTTTATAGCATTAAACACAGATATTGTCACTTGTAGACAGAGTCTTTGATTCTCCCCAGTCACTTAGCAAGTTCCAGATAGTTTTCCCTCTGATTTAGAAATATGCATTTTGTACTAGTATCTACCTTTGAAGTTTAGCACAGTGGTTTCAGGAAAATGACTCTGGTTTGTGAATTTAGGAGTACCTAAACTGGAAAAATCCATAGTTCTGATATAGTTAGGTTACTGCTAGAAGATCAGACTCTCAAAGTTGAAGACACAAGGTAAATTACTTAAATTTAGAGATGGGTATTATAGATACCCAAAGAATCTTTGTGTGGAAGTAAAGAAAACATGATTACACTTTATTCTTGTACTTTATTTTGTGAACAATTGAAAAATTTGAAAACTGGGTTTTGTTATAAAAACAATAAGGAAAATAATAAATGACAAAAGAAAAGTAAAACCAAATGAAGTTCAAATTCACTGATCACTAACCAAAGTTATTTCTCTGTGCAGGTATAATTTGGTTTCCTGAGATTCTGTCTTAGCAAGAAAGAAGTGGGAAATACTCCTCAAAAAAGAACTAAAACCATAATAAAGCCACAATTTATTATTACATGGTTGTCAGCTTATTTACCAAGATGGACACTTTTCCCAACATTTTTCCAACTGGTGGAGACACTGGACTAAATTCTGAATCTGAGTTCCAAAAAATGTTAATTGATGAAAGGTTACGATGTGACCATCATAAAACTAATTATCAGACTCTCAAAGTTGAACACACAAGGTAAATTACTTAAATTTAGAGGTGGGTATCATGAGATTGTTAAAAAAGTTATTGGCTAAATGTTTGCTCTGGAACTGTAGTATAATTTTATTATTTTGCAGTATTATTTCATTGAACACTTTCAATGTAGTAAAATTTTAAAATTACTTTGTTCAAAGCAATGATATCAAGTGGGTTGGGTTTATAAAATCTTATTTTCAAAATAGCAAGACATAGAATTACCCAGGTGGCTAAATATCTTTTTCCCTCTGATTATAAAGTTGTGTTCGGATACTACAGTGTTAATAAAGTAATGCAGTTAGAGAACAAAGGACATACTTAAAATTGAATTTTTTWAATTTTTTTAAAATCAGATTGCAGGGTGAATACATAAAATCACAAAATGAACTCAAGCGCTTGTTAAATGAAAAGGAAACAAACCAGGAAAAATTCCAGCTACTGCTTGAAGAGCTAAAAGGGGAATTAGTAGAGAAAACTAAAGATTTAGAAGAAATAAAACTGCAGGTAAGAAAATATATTTGAGTTTGTATAAAACTAGTCAGATAGGGGAAGTAAGTAGTTTTGATAAATGTGTTAAATTGCATCTTTTTCATTTTTATTTTTGGCAGTACTGGGAGGTCAAACCTAGGGACTTGTACATGCTAGGGAAGTATGCTCTACCATAGAGCTCTGCATCTCCAGCTCTGTCTCTTTATCTTTAGTGATCTTTTTCTCTGCTATATTTCCAGCTGCTATAATTTAATCTTCTTTTATGTGTTCTAGAATATTAGCTATCATGAAAGGGAAATCATGAAACAAACTTATGTAAATTAGTACTATATTACCTACTCTGAAATATTTCAACATTCAGAATAATTAGGGAAAAGGCCAGTTTGAGTTGATTARAATTCAGAATTAAAGAATTTCTTTCAAAAGATGTTACTAGTTTTTGTGTGTTTATTACAACTGAAACTAAAGTAAAAATGATTGATGGTTATTTTTTATCATTTTGTTACTGGGGATTGAAACCCCCAGAGGTGCTTACCCATTGAGCCACATCCCCAGCCCTTTTTATTTATTTTTTATTTTGAGACAGAGTCTTTCTAAATTGCTGAGAGCCTCGCTTAAGGTGCTGAAGCTGGTTTTGAGCTTGTAGCCCTCCTGCCTCAGCCTCCTGAGGTTGCTGGGATTATAGATGTGCACTACTGAGCCTTATTTGATAGTTATTTTTAAGGAGTTTCTTAAAAGAGATTGTAAAAACAATATATATGCACAATTTATGTGCACATTGTAAGGTAAATGGGTTTTTGAAGCAAAAGACAATTGATACAAAAATACTAAACTACTGTGTCCTGGGTATTTTTTACACTGGTTATTTTTCATGTGCCTCCAAACTAAAAAAAGGCTTAGTAGTCAAGCTTACCAGTCAAGCTTAGTAGTTTTTTGTTTTTTAATATTTATTTTTTTAAGTGTAGATGGATACAACACAATGTTTTTATTTTTATGTGGTGCTGAGAATCGAACCCGGGGCCCGCCCGTGCCAGGGGAGCGCTCTACCTCTGAGCCACAATCCCAGCCCAAGCTTAGTAGTTTTAAATTAATCAAATATGAATGAATGATATTTTCCTGTATCTCTTTACTTTCTGAATAGCATCAGCAAACAATGGTATGAATAATAAGATTATTAATACCAAAGTCATAAGTTCATAGAGTAAGAAGGTAATTTTTTAAGTTATCTAATCTGGCATGTCATCCAGCATAGATTTCCTTGACAGTATAGCCTTAGCAGTTTATCATTCAGAATCTTCAAGTCTTCTGCTGTGAGAATACCACTAAGGTTTGGTTTGGGGAAGGAGAATGCTTGGATTGGAATCTACACCATGCTCAGCTTCATTTCTAGATATATTTGGAACATTTAAACAAAATAAAAACCTCAGAGATGTGAGTGAAAGGGGGAAATGTAAATATAAGCCAGTAGAATCAGTGAATTAATTTGTTTTATGAATATTCAGAGGYCCAATTTAGCTATTTGCTTTAAGGGATGCTTGCAATTTGTGCAAATTATAAGTGAAGAAAACTTCAACAGTAAGATCATTAAGAAATATTTCAGTGAAAATTTATGAAAGGTGATTATCTTAAAAATAATCATGTATTATCTAATTGCAAAAAATGCCTTGTCCAAGATTTAATGTTGTCACTGACTTTTATAGAAAATAAATTGAAAAGGAATTTATTTAAAGAGCATTTCTGCATAGTGAATGGGAATAATCATACCAAGCTCGTAGGATAATTGTAAAGATCCAATAAGAGATTGCATAGAAGGTTGCCACTACTGTGCTTTGATGTAGTTAGTGATCAATACATGTTAGCTATTATTGTTACAGGCTGAATATTTCTTTTCTGCAATGTGTGGAAGCAAAAGTATTTCAGATTTTGGAGTTTTAAAATTTTTTCAGTTATTTGCATTGATTTACTGGATGAGCATTCCTAGTGTAAATCTGAAATCCCAAATCCGGAATTCTTTGAACATCTTGGAGCATTTCAGATTTTACATTTTTGAATTAGGAATACTTAACTAGTATGTTGTTATTGTGTGCTAAAGGTAAAATCTTTTTCTAACACGAGAAATCATTGATATGTATTTGTTTAAAACTAAAAAAAGTTACCATAAATGTATATGTTGTTTTTGTGCCAGGCCATCAAAAATGTATAACCCATGTTTTCTATTTTGTTTTGGTTACTAAGATGCTCATATCAAAATTTATTACTTAGTTTCACTACTTAATATATTAAGAATTTTTGGCACAGTATTTGCCCTCTTAAATGAAAAAATACTTTGAAAACATTTTTTGTTACTATTTGGCCACTTTATGTTACTATTACTGCAAGTGTTGGAGTATTAAAGGTTTGTTTATGTAGGTAATGATACCTAGGTTATAAGACAAGTAGTTGCAGTGCTTCTTTGAAAGTCTTAAATATGGGAGAGTTTCTCCTAAAATAGAATGGAGAAAATCCTGTAATGTCTTTGGTTTGTGTATGTTTGGGGTCTGGCAAAGAAGAGATTTTTATTATGTGCTTAATTTTAATGATTCTAGGAATATATAAAAAAATGTTAGAGATTCTTTATTAGAGACCTCAAGGATCAGAAGACTTCTAAACCTTTGTTTGCTATTAGGTGATCTAGGTCAGTGCTGCACATCACTGTAAAATTTAAAGCACTGTTTCCAAGAGGTATCTATGACATAATTAAACATGTTTAAGGAGCTATGTGGGTGCATAGCTGMATCGCTGCACAGGGTAGCGAGCACAGGTCAGCTAACTTTCTGCTTACTTTGCCCTGTGCCTTCTACAAATTGTCAGCAAAGTTTGCAGGAGATCATTTGCCTCCAGGACAAACCCCGTCTTACTGTTTGTTTTATATTTGTTCCGTGTATTCTTTGTTTCCCTTTTCATGTTTTATTTAATCTTTTTTTGTTGCTTATGACTCTACTCTCTTTGCTGGCTTATTGGCATCAGCTGTTTGTGTTGCTTTAAATATTGCATTAGCCTTAACATATGCCATCTTTTACTTTAGGATTTATAAAGTATAATTTATCTCTGCTAATCCCAACCATAAACCCCACACTAGATTATTATTTTTGTTTAAAATGCCATTATCTTTAAAACAGTTTTAAATAATAATAAAAATCATATATTTACCCATGTAGTTGTGGATTTCAGTGCTTTTCATTTCTTCATGTATCCATATTTCCATCTAGTACTTTAAAAATTTTTTTTCCTGTGTTTTCAAGACTTTAACATTTCTTACAGCAGTGTGGCTCTGCTGGTGAGAATATTTTTCAGCTTTTTATTTTTATGTTTTTACATCAGAAAAGGGGTTGTGTGTGTGTGTGTGTGTGTGTGTGTTTGCATGTGTGCGCATGCTAAGAATTGAACTCAGGGACATACAACCACTGAACCACATTCCCAGCCCTTTTTTGTGTAATATTTAGAGACAGGATCTCACTGAGTTGCTTAGCACCTTGTTGTTGCTGAGGCTGGCTTTGAACTCACGATCCTCCTGCTTCAGCCTCTCAAGCTGGAATTACAGGTGTGTACCACTGCACCTGGCTGAAAAAGTTTGTTTTATAAATTTTCACTGAATATCATATTCTAAGTTAACAGATTTTTCCCTCCAGTATCTTAAAGATGTTACTCTATTGTCCCCTCATTATGTTGTTTCACTGTTCTTTAGTTTGGTTTGTACCTAAGCTTTGGCTTCCTTCTTCCTTTGGTGCATCATTCTTTCTATCCAAAATATCTTTTTTCTTTGTCTTTACCTGTTGGGTAAAGCTTCCATTGCCTACTTTATTTGTATGTATGAGGTATTTTTCATTCCATAATTTGATTACTTAGGGAAAAAATAATGAGCTTCAGGTGGGTCTTTGTGATCTTTAGAAAGTTATTTAGATTTTAGGGTGCTTCATTGAAGCTACATAGTGGGATTGTTGTGGGGCTTAAATAAATTAATGCAGGTAAGATGCTTAGAGTAGTGTGGTATGTACATTATAGTACATTGCACAATGCTTTTGGTTTAGTGGACTTTAATAGTAAAATGTAATATTTTAAGTAAAATGTATGGAATATTGATAATTAAATGAAGTAAGTTGAGCATTTTCATTTTCATAGAAATTTACATAACTCCAGGCTAGATTTTTTTTTTTTTTGGTGGTTCTGAGGATTGACCCCATGGCCTCATGCATGTTAGGCAAGCACTCTCACACTGAGCTATGACATCCCCAGTCCTAGATTAATTTTATAACCAGTATTTGGGCATTCATGAAGTAATAATTGAGTGATTTCTATGTAGTAGGCATTGGTGGGAAGTGTCTGCAAATACAGTGAGGAATAGACAAACTGTGTTTGCTTATATGAACTTTATATAAATATTTAATCATTCATCGAAATATGAGTTTTATAAGAGTATGAGAGAGGAGAGCCTAAATTAGTTTTGCTGGTCAGAAAAAAAATTAGCCGTTTCTGACTGAAAGTAAGTCTGAAGAATTCTCTTGGTATAATAAAGTTTTATACCTTTATTAAGTTTATATATGTTAATTATTAATAGTTATTATAATTCAATTATTATAATAATTTATTAAATTATGCCATAAGCCTTTGTATCCAAACCATAGCCTTAGTTGCCAACATGGTTGTTCTTAATAATTACAGTATTAATTAGTGATTGTCTTTACCTCATATTAATGAAATTTTTGACATCTGGGAGAACCTTAAATTGAGATCCTAAAAGTATTTTTTCAAATAATGGGTCTATTTATGCAGTGATTGTGGTAAAATAGCTGCATTTTGAAAATATCTATGAATTGAATTCCATTGCCATAATTAGAAGGAGAGACTTGAAATTTGGAGAATTCTTTCAGTATTTGTAATTTCATATTTATAATTCTCTCTCTACATATTAGGTTTTAACGCCACAAAAATTGGAATTGTTAAGAGCCCAAATACAACAAGAATTAGAAACTCCAATGAGAGAACGTTTACGGAATCTGGATGAAGTAAGTAATTATGTAGATGAACTATTCATTTATCTTCATGTGATTATGAAAGTTGATGAAAAGCATCCTTCCTTTACTCAAAAACTCTTCAGTGGCTCCCCTTTAAAGAGTCCATATTGTGACCTCTAAGGCTTCACAGGATTGCAGTCCATTATTTCTCTGGCCTCGTTTCCTCCATCCTAATTGGCCTCTTGATGTTTCTTTGGCACTCTAGAAGTGGTGTAGTTCAAGAGCCATTGCTGTAGCATTATTTCTGCTTTGAATATTCATCCTCCAGATTTATCTTGGCTAACTTCTTCATCTCTTGCAAGTCTCTGTTTAAAATGTTACTTTTGTCACTGAGGCCTACTTGACTTCCCCCTCATCTTTCCCCATTTAATATTGCAATCTGTTTCCCCATCACTACTTAAATCTTTGGTTCCCCCTTACCTTGCTGTATTTTTTATCTTTTCTCAAGTACCTTCCACCTTCTAACATGCTAACTGATTTATTTATTGTGCTTATTTTCTGTTAGCACCTTTAGAATGGAAGTTGCACAAGAGAAAGAACTTCTCTATTTATTTTGTTCATTATTTCAAGTTCCTAGAATAGTTCGTGACATACAGTATATAGGTGCTCAATTAGTTTTTTTCCCCAATGAAGGAATGCATTTCATGCAACTTCAGATAGGAAAATATTTGTTAGTTGTCCTTCAGGTTGAGACCGGTCTCCTTTTATAAAAAGTATTGGTATGATATGATTAAATGTTAAATAAAAGGAAGAGGAAAAGACTACAGATATTAAGTAGATTTGGTATTGTGCTAGACATTTTGTACTATACCTTTTTAAACAAATATATTTAGGCCTTATATGTACAAATGATCATTGTCCCCTTTCAAGTGGACCCCTTTGGGAGATTATAGTCTAGTGATATACCATTACATGGAATGGTCATGGAATCCTCTTTTATAATGGTTTATTAGCTTGATACTATGATCTTTTGAATATATTGCTAGTGGCAGTATTCTGGTTGAGAATAGATTTAATTTTTGGAAATAAAATCACTCAAACTTAAGGTAGTTGATAAAGTAAAAAGAGGTTTTTAAAATCAAAACAAATTATCTCTAATATCATGAAACCCATTTTCTTGGCTTGTCAACTGGCTTAGGAACCTTTCAACTAAAGATATACAGTGATAAAAACACAAACAAAAAAATTACAGCAAGGCTGATTGTTATTTCGAGAGATATTTTCCCTCATTACCTAGTTTCTTAATACTTCTTGAAATAATGTATCTTGCATCTTTCTGCTATATTGCCTGTTTCTTGTTAAGTTTTTATTTTTTTGTTTCTTTTTTAATTTATAAATGACAGCGGAATGCATTACAATTCTTATTACACATCTAGAGCACAATTTTTCATACCTCTGGTTGTATGCACAGTATATTCACACCAGTTCATGCCTTCATACATGTACTTTGGATAATAATGACCATCACATTCCACCATCATTTCTAATCCCATTCCCCTTCCCTTCCCCTCYAACCCCTCTGCCCTATATAGAGTTCCAGCTGTTATAGGTGATTAGGAAGCAGGATTGGAGCCCCCTGGGGAATTGTATGTGTTTCTGGTGAGTGAGAGATAGTCCTACAAATATACTTCAGGGTGGTGCAGTGAGTTGAGCTATCATTCTAATATTTGTTTGCACCTTAAGGTACTCTACTAAATATTCTGTTCTTTTATCTACTTTGAGTTCATCTTGCCTAAATTTTAGAGGAGTATCTTATACTTTAAAAAAATCTAGCTATATTTTGAAAGGTGTGTTGTATTCTTAAACATTATTTATTAAGCCCAGAGGTCACACCTTTTTCATGCTGTACATTTTTTATTATAATGAGGATCAGTGAAGAAACAACATTAATTAAATGATAATTGTTTTCATTGATACCATCTCAGTAATTCTGTCTGTAGGATGCTTAGGAGGATTTTTCTAAGTTTCATTTGTATTCCTATTAATTTCGTTTTTTTACTTTCAGAATGGCTACCGATATATTATGTAGTTTTATTTCTAAAAGTGATTTTTTGGACTGAGTACAAATTTCACTTTTAAGTTTGTTATAAATTGCAATCTTATTTTAGGAAGTGGAGAAGTATAGAGCTGAATATAATAAGCTTCGCTATGAACATACATTTCTCAAGTCAGAATTTGAACACCAGAAAGAAGAATTTGCACGCATTTCAGAAGAGGAAAAAATAAAATATGAATCAGAGGTAAGTAATTGATTATACTAGTTTATTCAAAATTTCTCTAGTCAATAAAATTTTATGATTAYGTATTTTTGTATATCTCGAATTAGAGTTGATTGCATGATTATGTTTTAATAATTAATGATGAAGTATTTGTAATGGTTTTCATTTACTCTCTAACAACATTTTYCTTGTGAATGTTCTGTTTTGGTTGTTTGATTTTTAAAATTTCTTTGCTCTTTAATTTTTCCTCTGCCAATTGAGATAAATACTTTGGGGATTTCCATACTATATAGTCTCTTGTCTCCCATAGCCATGGACATAAATTTCTAGTTTATGTGATAAATATAGATTATGTGATTCCTTGTTTAGCAGTGTCCCCTCTACTTCTTGAACCAAACTACTGCCTGGGGAGCTCTAGCTGTCAGTCATAGCACCTTGTTTCCATTGATATAAACAAGGAGATTTTACCTTCATGTATGCCCACCACCTGCAGAAAGTATACTTTCTTCTTTCTGACATCTGCAGCTGCAAAATTTTCTCTCTGCTGCCTACAGCATGCACTCCTATTCCATCTCCATTTCTTTTGCCAGCTTTTCTACTCATTTTCAAGTTTGTCTCCTAGTTTTACTAAAAATGGAGTTCTGTTTTTCATTCCTCATGTTACTTTCAGATGCTTTTTCAAGAGGGAAGGAGAGAAATACCAATTTTCTTCTGCACATTCATAAAAAGGACTTGTTGGGCTGGGGTTGTGGCTTAGTGGTAGAGCACTTGCCTAGCAAGTGTGAGGCACTGGGTTCGATTCTCAGCACCACATTAAAAAAATAAATAAATAAAAGCAAATAACTTTTTGTCTGTAGGTAGGTTATACATTTCTTTGTAGAAACATTTGTATTTTATATTTTTATATTAATTTTATTTGGAATTGAGTTAAAATATTATTCCTTCTTTTACCAATTATTATTTATAATGTTCTAGGCATCTAATAAAAACTAACTGAAATAAATAAATATATATGTGTATACATATGTGTGTGTGTGTGTATAATGTTGTAGATAGACACAATACCTCTATTTTGTTTACTTATTTTTATGTGGTACTGAGGATCCAAGCCAGTGCCTCACATGTACTAGGCAATAATAAAAACTAAAACTGTGCCTTTGTAATTAGGCTGACTTATTCTTTTTTGTTGTTATTGATCTTTTTAGTTATATATGAAAATAGAATGTATTTTGACATATCTTACATACTTCCCATTCTTGTGGCTGTATATGACATGGAGTTACACTGGTGGTGTATTCATACATGAACATAGGAAAGTTATGTCCAATTCATTCTACTGTCTTTCCCATTCTCATTCCTTTTCCCATCCTTCCCCTCCATTCCCCACTGTTCAGTCCAGTCTAGTGAACCACCCTGCCCCAGCCTATTTTGGGTCAGCGTCCGCATATCAGAGAGTCCTTTGTTTTTTTGGGGATTGTCTTATTTAATTTAGCAGATAGTCTCAAGTTCCAGCCATTTACCAGCAAATACCATAATTTCATTTTTCTTTATGATTGAATAATATTCCATTATGTACATGAATCACATTTTCTTTATCCATTCATCTGTTGAAGGGAACCTAAGTTGGTTCCATAGCTTAGCTATTGTGAATTGAGCTACTATGAACACTGATTTGGCCATATCACTATAGCATGCTGATTTTAAATCCTTTGGATATATGCTGAGGAGTTGGATAACTGGATCAAATGGTGGTTCCATTCCAAGTTTTCGGAGGAATCTCCATACTTATTTGCAGAGTGGTTGCACCAATATGCAGTCCCACCAGCAATGCATGAGTGTACCTTTCCCCCTATATTCTCACCAACRTTTATTGTTACTTGCATTCTTGATAACTGACATTCTGACTAGAATGAGATGAAATCTCAGTGTAGTTTTAATTAGCATTTCTCTAATTTCTAGGGATGTTGAACAGTTTTTCATATATTTGTTGACCATTCTTATTTCTTCCCTGAAGTGTCCAGTACCCTTACCCATGTATTGATTGGGTTACTTGTTTTTTGGTGTTTTTAGTTCTTTATATATGCTGGAGATTAGTGCTCTGAGGTGTAGGTGGCAAAGATTTTTTCCATTCTATAGGGTCTCTCATCATGTTCTTGATTGTTTGTTGTGAAGAAGCTTTTTTAGTTTGATAAAATCCCACTTCTTGATTTTTGTGCTTTAGGAGTCTTGTTGAAGAATTTGGTTCCTAAGCAGACATGATGGAGATTTGAGCCCAAAGCAGACATGATGGAGATTTGAGCCCACTTTTTCTTCTCATAGGTGTGGGGTCTCTGGTCTAATGCCTAAGTCCTTGATTCACTTTTTTAATTTTTTTAATAGTTGTAGATGGACACAATACCTTTATTTTGTTCATATAGTTTTTTTATGTGGTGCTGGGGATCAAACCCGGCTTGGCAAGTGTTCTACCAATGAGCCACAACTCCAGCCCCCTTGATCCACTTTGAGTTGAGTTTTACACAGGGTGAGAGATAGGAGTCTTATTTTTATATATTTATTTAGTTTTTAAATTTATTTTTTAGTTGTAGGTGGACACAATACCTTTTTATTTTTTATTTATTTGGTGCTGAGGATCGAACCCAGGGCCTCACGCATGTGAGACAGTGCTCTGCGGCTGAGCCCCAGCCCCAGCTCTTTATTTTATTTTAATACATATGGATTTCCAGTTTTCCCAGCACCATTTGTTGAAGAGGCTATCTTTTCTCCAATGTATGTTTATGGTGCCTTTGTCTAGTATTAGATAACTTTATTTATGTGGGTTTGTCTCTGTGTCTTCTATTCTGTCTTCATACCTGTTTTGATGCCACTACCATACCCTCTTTGTTACTACAGCTCTATAATATAATTTAAGGTCTGGTATTGTGATGCCTCCTGCTTCACTTTTCTCAGTGAGCATTGTTTTGGCTATTCTGGGCCTCTTATTTTTCTAAATGAATTTTATGACTGCTTTTTTTATTTTTATAAGAATAGGCTGACTTATTCTTAACAGTGAGCAAACTGTTACGTGATTATTCTATATTAGAACCTATCTGAACTGTGAATCATTTGAGTCCATCAGCATGATAGTACCAGAATACTATAAATATTTATATTTTTTGTGTTAAAAAATTCTTTACAGCTTTATGTGCTTTATTATGCATTTGTTATATCGATTCTATCATAAGAGTCAGTGAGATGGAGTAGAGCTGTCTTTTTTCATCCATTTAAAATATATTTTTAAAAAATATATGTGTATATTTTAGTGGGAGATAGACAAAATACCTCTATTTTATTTACTTATTTTTATGTGGTGCTGAAGATCCAAGCCAGTGCCTCACATGTACTAGGTGAGCACTATACTGCTGAGTTACAACCCTAGTCCCTTTTCATCCATTTTATCTTATGATTTACTTATTTATTTATTCATTCATTTATTCTAATTAGGTATATATGATAGCAGAATGCATTTTGACTCATTGTACACAATTGMAGCACAACTTTTCATTTCTCTGGTTGTACACAATGTAAACGTTGCACCATATGTGCAGTCCTACATGTACTTATTCTACCATCGTTCCTTCCCTGTTCCCCCTCCCTTTGTCCAATCAAAGTTCCTCCATTTTCCAWTGAGCTCCCTCTTTGCCCCCATTATGGATCAGCATCGACTTATCAGAGAGAATATTTGGCCTTTGGTTTTTGGGGATTGGCTTACTTGGCATAGCATGATATTCTTCAACTCCATCCATTTTACCTGTAAATGCCATAATTTTTTTCTCTTTTAATGCTGAGTAATATTCCATCGAAGAGGCACAACATAAATGAATTGTCCAAATTCTCACACAAAGTTAGCAGTTAGGTTAATGATAGAACTCGAAAATCCCAACTTAGGTATCTCAACCCCAAACCTAGAGTTTTTAAGTTTGAAATGAACCATGATTTGAAGGTTCACTCTGATCAAAAGCCTGCCAACAATTGCAGTTTTTTTAAGTGCTCTGTTGACTTACAATATCTATAATTATAAAGGTTTTGAATTTGTTAGTATTGTTGACTTAATGGAACTCCATATAAAATTTTTCTTGTGGAAAATAAAAATGATAAAGATTTCTCGCCTAAAATGAAGATTTAGCATATTAAGAGTGACTGTTGAAGTTCCATACTGTGGTCCTTTATTTAGACTTTGTATTTAAACAAATTAAATGATGAATCTGGTAATGTTTATTTGTATTTTCCAGTATCTCAGTTTTGTTGTTTCTTTTTAAAAAATAAAACTTACATCAGAAATCTAATGACAAATCTATTTTTCATCCATTAAATACGAAATGATTTTCAGAGTTTAACATTTTATTGAAAAAAAAAATTTAATTATTATTTTTATTTTTGAGGAATGCTGGGAGTTAAACCTCTCGACTATTAAAAAATTTTAAGGGTGAGTGGTGTCATTAACTTTTATAATTGGTATATCTTCTGATAATAATCTGAAGATAAACTGCTAGCTTAGAAGTCATAATTAGTAGAATGTATAAAAGTAAGACTTTCTGATAAACTGGGTTTTTTTCCTCTTCTACTTGCCAATTGATTATTAAGAAACAATATTATTAAGTAAATACTTGGGGATTTACTTTCATTTTATCACTTGTCTTTATACTCCAGTTTCTATACACAAACACAGAAAAACCTGGTGAGGTACTTGTGTATATGTCATGAAGCCCCAAATGTAATTTCAAAGATAGTTTATAGTAATAGCAAATATAGTTTCAAAGTAGAATCTACTCTTGTCACCTTCCCATTTTACAATTTAAACTAGTGTTAAATATACAAATTCATGTAATAAAGTGCGAACATACCTTGTTTTATTACACTTTGCTTTATTACATTTCACAATTATTACTTTTTTCATTGATTGAAGGATTTTGGCAGCTTTATATYGAACAAATCTGTAGGCACCATTTTTCCAAAAGCATGTCCTCACTTCATTATTTTGTGTC